CGTCACCGCGCCTTCGGTGCAGCCGAAGGATGAGCGAAACCAGAACGTGGCTGCTGATTGCTGTCCGAAACGAAGTAGAAAATGAAACAGGGGGGCTTGTGCGTGGGGAAATAACGAGGCTTTTTGTGAAAAGGGAGTTGCGAAAAGCTTTGCGTAGCCTCCCGAGATAGGAGATGAACGTCAGCAAGTGACATAACTTGTTATGAAGTCAGGAACAAAAAGGAGACGTTTAACGGATGCAGGGGATAAAACTGTAAATATCTGTAGCCGCCGTGGTGCTAGGCAGGTGGAGCGTGTGAAGAAGCTGCTTCCGGAAAGGACCACGCTTTGTTATGTGCCTTGGAAATGCTGCACATGTGTGGGTTTTAAAACATGCAGCATTCAAACTTGAGGACTTTCTTCCTGTCTCATTCGGAGCAGAGAATCAGAGACACTTGACCTGTTTTTTATCTTTGACATAAGATCAGAGACCACAATGTGACATTCAAAAAAAAAAGAAGGGGATCAACAAGGGTGGCAGGTTGATTCCCTGCAGTTTTCTATCGAGATCACTGGTTTATTGGGGTTTATTCTGTTCTTTCTTCCCAGGGAGTTTGGAATAAGCAGTTTCAGAGGAGCAGGCTTCACTTAACCAAAACAATGTTTGCAGATTTGGACTATGATATTGAGGAAGATAAGCTGTAAGTATTTTTCTTGTCTTTTCCTGTTTTTTGCTAACAATAGAAATAGTCTTTGCAGCCAAGAACTAAGGGGAGTGGATAAATTTACCCACTCCTGATGCTGTATGCTGAAGAGTCAGACTTGCTGTTCAGTCCTGATTCCTTGCTCCCTCTGGGGACTGGGAATGAGGCATCGCTATGCGGGTGAGCGAAGGAGAATGCTTTCTGGTGCTCTGCAGTGACTACCCTGAGTTCCTGATTGCAAAGCAGTACTGACAAATCTTCTGTAAATTAGTGACCTTAGACAGAGAAAAAAATATTTATCATCATAGAATTATTTAGATTGGAAAATACCTGTAAGATCATCAAGTCCAACCATTAACCTGGCACTGCCGTCCCACCACTAAACCATGTACCTAAGCACCTCATCTACACTTCTTTTAAATACCTCCAGGGATGGGGACTCGCCCACTTCCCTCGGCAGCCCGTTCCAATGCTTGACAACCCTTTCTGTGAAGGAATTTTTCCTAATGTCCAACCTAAACCTGCCCTGGTACATTTCGAGGCCATTTCCTCTTATTCTATTGCCCATTACCTGGGAGAACAGACCAACACCCACCTTGCTACAACCTCCTGTCAGGAGGTTAATGGGGGAAAGATAATAAGAGGCAAGTAGACTCCTGGACTCATTAGGTCTGTAAGGAGGAGAACACTGGCATTTCCTGAGATTAGCAATTAATTTGACATGAAGCACTTGTCTTGCATCTCATTTGTGCTGTGTGAGTTTTCCTCTCACTCCAGCGCTAAGAGCAGATGAAGCATTCTCTTAAAATACAGTAGCATTTCCTCAGTGCCTAGTGATGGAGGAGGGTGTCTCTCCCACCTCCAGTCCTTGCATGCAGTCTCAAAAAAGATAGCCCAGAAGGTCCTTCTGCTGGCCTTCTGCTGATCGACTCAGTCGTGGAGATAATGTGATGACTTCAAATGTGCAGTGCCCATTACATTTTCGGATACCAGAGTCGTTTCTTACACATGCAGCTCTGCCTACCATGTTCAGTTATGCACTCCCCCTTTCTCGTTCTAGGGGGATCCCCACTGTGCCTGGGACAGTGACCTTGAAGAAGGACTCTCAGAACCTGATTGGGATCAGCATTGGGGGAGGCGCACAGTACTGCCCCTGTCTCTACATTGTCCAGGTGGGCACTTGGGGAGGAAGAATAAACCAGCTTTGTAAAACAGTGTTGGCCTGAGAGATGGAGAGTGTGGAGAGTCCTATGCTATTTGTTTTTCTGAAAGTGGGAGACATCATCTCATTTTCCAGTGAATAAGGTTTCCTTGCCCTAGTACCTAATAGGTGTGGAAGAATTAAATTAAGACTTCTGCAATCATCATTCTCCTTGGAGAGCATGTTAGAATTCACAGGGGGGAACGGTGTGACATTGTTAACATCAAGAAATGCTACGCTTGAGTAGGTATGTCCTGGAGGCAAGAACTTCCTGAGAGAAGATGATCAGACCACCTCTTAGTTAGGGAAGGGGGAAAACTGCGACTTCACCATGAACAAAACACAACTGAGTTAAACAGGAGGAATATAATTGTTCCTTTTTTGTTCTTCAGCCCTGCATTCACCTTTCTCTTTGTCTTGATTACAGACTACCTGTGCTCTTTCTCCTCTCCACTAGGTGTTTGATAACACTCCAGCAGCCTTAGACGGCACCGTAGCAGCTGGTGATGAAATCACAGGAGTGAATGGGAAGTCCGTCAAAGGGAAGACCAAGGTGGAGGTGGCCAAGATGATACAGATGGTAAAGGTGAGAGGTAGGAGGGGGCCACTGGAGCTTCTGGGTTGTAGCTTACAGTTTATTGCCCACTAGTAAAGGAAACCACTGCTACTTGCTTCCAGCACAGCAGTTTTGGGTTTGCTCTTTCTACAGGGAGAAGTGACGATTCACTACAACAAGCTTCAGGCCGACCCAAAGCAGGGCAAGTCCTTGGATATTGGTAAGAATGGTTTCTTTCTTCCCAGAGTGTTGAAGTGGCATGGAGGGGTGAAGGATTGGTCCCAGCTAAAATCAAAGTAAAATTTTGGTTCTGTTCCTCCTCTTAACTCAGTCATTTTCAGATAGATACTGTCAAAGAGAATTGCAGGTTTAAAAAAACCCTTTCCTGACATCTTGAAATAGTCTTGAAAGTTAAATTGAGGCTTGACTGTTGTTGTTGGAGGCTTGTTTTTCTCTGCTGTGTTTAGCATGGATGATGAAACTCAACTAGATAGTAATTCAATTTATTTATTTTTAATGCATGTAAGTTATGCTGATCTATTGAGAGTTTCAGCTATACACAGAAGCGCATCTATCGAAAAACACTGGTTGCAGTTTCTCAGCTTGGAGAATAGTGATGAAATACCTGCCTACACTGAGTTTTGTACCATAAATTTTATAGGAGGGAAGGGAGGCTTTATTTCTAAAACAAAGTGTGTGTTTTGAACTTAGCCTACACAGCTGTCTCTGTTATATGGTCTACCTTTCTCACTTCCCTAAAAAATCTATCTGTCTTTTTGCTTTCATTTCTTTTCATGGTGATTAAAGTGTTAATGAATTGACAAGGGGTTCAGGAAAATGGTGAGGACTGAGATGGATTTCTGGTGAAACAGAAGTGCGGTGAGAATATGGTATTTTCCAGAGATGCTGAACACTGTGGCTCCAGCTGAGTTCTTGGGAGCTGCAGGCACTTGGCACCCCTGCAAGTTTGCCTCTAAATAAATGTAGCTGAGCCATCTGATTCCAAAAAGGGCATAATTGTCTCTAGTACTTTGCAGGGTATGACCACAAAAGACAGAAATGAATTCCATCAAGGGGTGTCAAAAGGGTTTAACTAAGACTCAGAAGATAAAAGTAAGCAAAGGGATAACTTTGAGCATTAAATCCTATTTGCCTTGCTTTCAGCCTCATCTCCTGACTTCAGCCGAAGTAATATAGCAAGTAGCATAAGCAAAGTTTAGTTCCAAATATCATGATAGGTAGCTTATAGCAAAGTGATTTATTGGAATAGTCTTCTAAAAGAAGTGCTGGAGCTCTATTGATTGAAGTCTATAGGATGTGAGAGCAGAACAGGCAGAAGAGAGAAGATGTGCTATGAATGGCTGGACTGAATATCTAGTTTCTGTGGTATTCTTTTTTTGCTCGCTACCTCAGTAGTGAATTGAGTTCAGACTGGCCAGTTTATTCAATGCCCGAGAAAGTGGTGGAGTATGTTAGCATGCTTTTCATGCTCGTAGAAATGTCCCTGATCCTGGTTTGCAACTCTCTTTTGGCCTTTAGTATTGAAGAAGGTAAAGCATCGACTGGTAGAGAACATGAGCTCAGGGACAGCGGATGCCCTGGGGTTAAGCCGAGCCATACTTTGCAATGGTAAGTATTGTCCAGGAGGACATTTTCTTAAGGGCACACTTACCCTTTTGTGTTTGACAGCTTTTTATAGTCACTTGCATTTTCCACATTATTCTTTCATAATTCTTTCCTTCTGCTATACCTCACTGCTGTGATTGCCTCTGCCCTCCCTGAGTGATATATCCTGTCATTGGGGCCATTTGAATGTTAGCTAGGGTCAAATTAATTTGAAGCAGGGACCCACTTAGTAAATGCTGATAGGTGATGATGCTAAAACTAGTCGGCAGTTATTTTAAAAGCTTCCCTTGTTGGACCAGGGGACAGGCTTTAGAGATGAGAGAAATTTGAACGAAAAATACGAAACTGGTGTTTTTCCAGCCAGTCAAGATTTAACCGTTTCCTGGATTTTACTGTTGTAATTCTGTGTTCTGATTCTTGTTTCCCTTTAGATGGACTCGTAAAGAGATTAGAGGAGCTGGAGAGAACCGCAGAGTTATACAAAGGTAAACTGTGTCTTCCAGCAGACACCAGATGGGAGAGAAGGAGATGCCTCCATTATGTTTCAGTGAAATGACTTAAATGTTTTTTCTGGCTTCCATCACAGGCTTGACAGAGCACACCAAGAGTCTTCTCAGGGCTTTCTTTGAGCTATCCCAGACACACAGAGGTAAAGAATCTTGAGTGAAGGCAGCAGAAATCTTTGACCTCCAGTTTCAGGAGTTTTAGTCAGTACTTAGATACGTGATTCCCTCACTCAAAGAAAACTGAGCGTTGCAGAAATGAGCTGGGAAGGCCTGCTCTCCTGGCATTAGCAGTCATGGTGCTAACACAGGCCCTGTCTTTCACATGAGACATTGAAGAAATGCCCAACCAACCTTTGGTCTTTAGGGAATATGTAGCATCATTCCCCAGCTAATGGCAAGGTTTGGGAAGGAGTTGTAATATTGGAGGCCAGATTCTTATCTAGGGTCAACCTCTTCTTTCATCTTCTTGTATTTATTTCCCTCATCCAGCATTTGGAGATGTTTTCTCTGTCATTGGTGTACGGGAGCCGCAACCAGCTGCCAGTGAAGCCTTTGTGAAATTTGCTGATGCCCATCGCAACATTGAGAAGTTTGGGGTTCACCTTCTGAAAACAATTAAGCCGGTAAGGAATTTAATGATTAGAGTGAAGGTTATGGAGAAGAGGGGGATCTAGAAAAACAGAAGCCTGTCTTTGAAAGGTATGGTCTTGAAGATCTTTCATTGAGGGAAGAACTGTCTTTGCTTTCCTTCAGTGAGCTCTCTTCGTAAAGAACCTAAGAGGTAACGTAGTGAATGTGTCCATCTTGTGACTTTTGCACATGAGTATATTCCTCTCCTTTTCTTTTGGGGATGAGGGGTTGGTTTGATCAGTGTAGTCCTTAGAGCCCTTTCCCTGATACTGGTATCCATAATTAAAAGACATCACTAAATTTAAAAGAGTTTAAATAAGCAGTCCAGAAACAATTTAAGGATTTCAATTAATATATTTGAGTGAGAGTCTTCAGGGGATCTGTCCAATTAGTTTAGCAAAGAGAATATGCAGTGTTGATTTGAGCACTACTTTAAGTGCCATGTTGGATGGACAGCATTGGGTAGTGGGCATCTGTATCAAGGAGAGC